GGAGTGGAATTGGAGACTTAGCGTGGAGGAACCTTGGTCTCAGTGACTCAAGCGGAGTGCTGTGCCATTGCTGTTTGTCCATTTGGTCCTTAATTTCACAGTAGGCGAGCAGGAAGTCTCTAGGGGGCATTTCAGGTCGATTTCAGACTGAGGCCAAAATGAGTATGTACAAGCGCCGATATATATAATGGAGGGGGCAAAAGCACAAGGAAACAAAGGGGATCCAAAACGGAACGAAGATGTCTGAACGGGAACAAAGGGTAGACAGAAGCGGAGTGGTACCGAAGGTCATAAGACTGAACCTGTGATACGTCTGAAAGGAGGTAGGGAGGGCGAGGCCCAGAGGGGCAGGAGGATGGTGAGAAGTGGGGATGATGACTAACTGGCTAGAATGGGAAGAAGCAGCAGTCCAAATAGGGATGAGGGAGAAACGCGAGAAATACATTACAAGCGGCAAGAGTGCTGAAGATGATCCACGAAGCTCGGAGGTTGCGGAGCTTATGGAGCTTATGGAGGCAGGGTTGAAAGTCCGAGGAATATTGGCAATGGTGTTTACGTAGTATGAGGTCACCAATGCAATGGACTAAGACCGAGGTGGAGTCAAAGTCCGAGGTAGGGACTATGATGGAGGCTCGGAGCAAAGGTACGATCGGTGCCCGAGTACGAAGTACAGGACAGCGGTGGAAGGTCGTAACTTGGCGGGAGGTTGGTGGGAGAGTACCAGAGGGGAGAGAGAGGAGAAAAGGGAAGAGGAAGGGAGTGGCAGGAAGGAGAGTTGTCAGGTCCGAGGGTGAGTATCGGAGCGGACGGGAGAAGCATAGGAGGATGATGGGAGGGTGGAGGTGTAGGAGGTGTAGTAGTAGGAGGGTGACGAGAGGGGCGGTGTTCAGTCCAAGGTGAGTATCAGAGCAGACAGAGATAGGGGAGGAGAGGGAAGGAGGAGTAGAGGTGGCATGGGAGGTAGAAGGAGGTGTGTTGCCAGGACCGAAGGTGAGTATCGGGATGGGCGGTGGTAGGGTAGGACTCCGGAGGTGAAGAAGGAGGAGGTCCGGAAGTCGGTTCGGGGTCAGGTATGCACGGATATGACAGCTGCATGTGTTAGAATGGGCAGATTCGGACAACTCCGGAGTGGAATCGGAGACTTAGCATGGAAGGACCTTGGCCTCAGCGACTCATGCGGAGCACTGTGCCATTGCTGGTTGTCCTAGGGGTCCCTAATTTCGGATCTAGCAGGGGGGAAGTCTCTTGGGGGAATTCAAGTCGATTTTAGACTGAGGTTATAAGTTACTATGTACATTGTATATAAGGAGGGGTCCGGAATCAAAAGGAGCAAGGGTACTCCGAAAGCAGACAAAGGGAGCTGGAAGGAGGAACAACACCGAGGGTCAAGTGTTTGACTCAATGGTGTTTCCCAAAGGAGGAGTGAAGGGCCAAGGCCCAAGGAGGAAGGAAGGAGGATGGGAGTGGGGAATGGCCAGCTGACTGAATAGAAAGGAAGCAGCAGCCCAAATAGGAATGAGGGAGAATAGCAGAATTGAATGGAGCAATGCAATAGTTGCAAGGTCCGATGTAAGTCCGGAAAGTCCGAACTCGGAAGTTAAACTCCGGGATATTGGCAAACGTAATTAAATGGAATGAGCTAACCAATACAATGGGTATAAGCGGAGGTGGGGTCAAAGTCCGAGGTCGGAGCTAAGACCGGAGGTTCCGGAGACAGAGACGCAAACGGGATTCCGGAGTGGAGGTCTGGAGTCGGGAGCATAGGTGTTGCGTACTCGTCTGGAAGGTGTCGAGGATGAGGTCGGACCCGGAATGTTCTGGAGTCGGTCCGAAGGTGGTGTTGGAGCCGGAGGTGGGATAACCTCTTGGAAGTCGGCAAGGAGGAGGTGGCAGAAGGGAAGTAGGACTCTGGAAGTCAGGTTTGGAGTTCCGGGAGCCCGGAGCGGAGGTTGGGATTGTACGGATATGACAGCATGAAGCTGCACAACACCCCAACCATCCGCAAGAGACCTCTAATGGAGGATGATCTTATTCTGATCCAAAACAGCCTGCCACAATCCCCTGCCCATGATGACAAGCTTTTCATTGTGATGGTTTTGACTGGCTGGCATTGCTTGATGAGACTGGGTGAACTTGTGGACCCAGACTCTACTGCACTGCGCAACTTCCGAAAGACCATATGCCATCGCTCAGTTCGTTTTAACAAAACACCTTGCCCACACATTTCGTTTATCCTGCCAATGCACAAAGCTGACCGTTTGTTTGAAGGTTCTACAATTGTACTAGAAGGTCGGAATAATCGACTGGACCCTCTGTCCACATTCACGCAGTACTTGATATTGCATGACCATAACTTTCTGTCAGGGCACACCCGCCTGACCCGGTTCCACCCAGGCCCACCTGGGCCCACCTCACCCGCTCACCCGCTCACCCGCTCACCCGCTCCCCGCTACCCATCCTTCCTCCCTCTTCCCCTTTCCTCCCTCTTCCCTCTTTTCTCCTCCTCCTTTATTTCACTCTCCCTTTCTGTTTATTCTTCCTATTTACACGGACCACCTTCCCTTGTATCATTGTACTGCTGACCCATCCGGCTCGGACACCCCGGGCGACCTCCCGCTACGCCCAGCACGCGCGGATGCCCTCGGGATCCCCCGCGGGGATACCCGGATGGCTGCGGCCCTCTCCGCAGATGACGTGGCACCTGTCACGTGACCCAAGCCGCATGTACATAAATGTACCTGAAGTGGGAACTGAAGAAGTAACCTTCTTCTCACGTTTTCCACTTCAGGTAAGTAGTGTAGTTATTCCTTTTAATAACAATTCACGTTTTCCACTTCAGTCTAAGTGGCCAGGGACTACAGTCCCAGATCAGGCCCGTCAGTACGCGCGCCCGCTTCGTCCCCCGAGAGGGTCCCTCTGCCGGGCGCTACAGCCGGGCCCCCTCCACCCCGGACGCGTCCCTGACACTTTCCCCACCTTCCTGAACTCTGGCTCATGGCGAAAGGGACAGTTCCAACATGCTCCTGGTTCTTGAAATGACTTTATGCGGTTTTTCCAAACAACAACATCAGTGGACATTCCCTACATTCAGGTGGCACCACTGCACTTGCGCTGGCAGGAACGCCACTGCCTTGGATCCAATCTATCGGACGATGGTCATGTCAGGGCACACCCGCCTGACCCGGCTCCACCTGGCCCAACCTGACCCGGTACCCCGCCGGTCCACCCTCCCTTACCTCCTCCCCCTTTCCCTTCTTCCCCCTCATCCTCCCCTCCTCAATTTCTCCTTATCTTACTTCTTCTTTATTCTCCCTTTATTCTACATGGACGACTTTCTCTGTATCAATGTACAATTGACCCATCTGCAGCGCGCCCACCATGTACCCGGCCCGGGCACCTCGGGCGACCTCCCGCTGTGCCCAGCACGCGCGCCTGCACCGGATACCCTCGGGATCTCCCACGGAGACACCCGGATGGTTACGGCTGTGTGCGAGGGTGACGTGGCACCCGTCATGTGATCCAAGCCGCATGTATATAAACGAACCTGAAGTGGGAACCGAAGAAGTAGCCTTCTTCTCAATCTTCCACTTCAGGTAAGCAGTACAATACCCCTCCTTTAATGATAATAACAATCTTCCACTTCAGTCTAAGTGGCCAGGGACCACTGTCCCACATCGGGCCTGTCAGTACGCATGCCCGATCCGCCCCCGCCAGGCTCTCGGTCCCGGATGCTATACCCGGACCCCCTCGACCCCGGACGAGTCCCTGACAGGTCATCAGAAACCTTTCTCATCTATATTCGCCAAAACCCTATCCTCATCCAGGGAACACTCTCGGGGAGATCGGCATTTGATGCCGGCTCTAATTAAGAAATCTCAATGAGTGCACGCATCTACATCAGTCTCTTCACCACCACCATCCACCCTCTCCTGCCACCTGAATAGGACTAGATTGATACAGTGAAAGAGGGCTCACGGCTCTCTATGCCGACTAAGCTCGTGGGGCCAAACTCTCCTAAAACTTCACTTCTCTAGACTTTACTCGACTCTCGATCCTTAAACTCCGTGGTGGGTTCTCCGGGATTCCGCAAGGTCCGGGCTCAACAAATCCACTACCCACTCGTTGTGGGCTAGACAGTTGCCCTTATTCCTACTGTTGGATTCCACACACTCACTCCAACTCTAGCGCGTCCTAGCACCTTAGAGAAATGGGGGAGGGGAGAACTTCCTTTCAAAAATCCGGTATGTACAGGATTATAAGAAACAATTATTTTTAGAAATAATAGATGGCAAATATTGGTACCATATGGCACCTGGGTACCTTATTAGGCGAAATAATAAAAAAAGGGTAACAGTATCAATAAAAGAATATCAATCAATAACTGAAATGATGGTGAAATATAAAAATAAAAGAAAATAAACGATATCTCAACGGATTTATGGAATTAAGAGCCGAAATTGAAAATGCAGCCGGAGATAACTCTCACGCAGCCGATAAGCATTTTTACCAATTTATTAGACACTGTGGGAACGAGTGAGGCTGGAATTCTGGGTTGCCGCTTGAGATTCCCACGCCCGCACATACTCGTGACCTGCCATGCCTAACCTGCCCAATGCAGAACTCCATCAAATCTTGACCGATTGGGGCGTTCTTGGTATCGTCAGAATCGTACGAATTAGCCCTATTTTTAGATGTCAAATCCGTATCGAGTTGTCGCATGAATGGAAGGGGTTTTCTGAATGTTGGAAGCGGGTATCTGAGCCGGCTCTGCACATGGGCGATTATCCCGCCTACAATGGCCACGTGTGTCTCGTGCCGCTTGCTTGCTGCCAATAATACATTCTGGGCCTCCTGGGCCATCTCCCGCTATGACCTCAGTCAACCCTGATTAGTTGTTGTTTAATGTTTTCATTTCATGAGACTAATCACAGGGCAACGATCGAACTCGGCCCAGCCAATGCTATGACTTCCCCAGGCTCGATCACCCCAATGTGCCTGTCTCAGCACCACACTTGCCCCTTTGCTGCTTTCATGAGTTGCTGCACAACCTGACCATTTGATGGACCCAGGGACTGTGCCTCAGTCGTACGCTGGGTTTTCTGGTGCGGATGCGCGAAGCGGACCACACCAGCAGAGGTACGTACTGAACTTCACTCATCACAAGAGTGCTCACGACGATTCAGGCCGTGCTTATAAAAAGGGCTTTCACAGCGCCCCCTTTTTCCTTCCTTATCACCTGAATCTCTTGCGACTCTCATGGTGAGTACAAGGCCAACTTGCTGCTGTTCTTTCGAACTCACTCTCGTGATTTTGCTGCTGCTGCCTGCCTGTTTCCCTTGCTGCGCTTCCCCCCTCGACTCGTGCATATCTGCTGCTGCAGTCTCACACTAGTTTTCGCCTCTCCCACCCCCTCACCTTTCACCACCAATTACTTCATTTCTGATCTTGCGTGTATCTGTTTCCATATCTTTTTCTGGTTTCTAACTGTTCCAGAGTTTGCATGTATTACTATTATCCATTGTTCTACTTTCTTGTGTATTTCTGTTGTTTTGTCTGGAACTTCTTTGTACTTGTAGCCAGATCACACATGTCTTGCGCCGCTTGCTTGCTGCCAATACATTCTGGGCCTCCTGGGCTGTCTCCCGCTATGACCTCAGTCAACCCTGATTAGATGGTAGAAACCCTACAAAACCCCTCTGAGATTATTAGAATACCAACTTGGTTTACATCGGGAAGTTGTGTAGCGGTTATTGATAGTGGTTATTCTGGGGTGCTTTGAGGTGTTGGGGGTGTTTTGCCCTTCTTATTCAACTTAAAACTCCCTTTGTACAACGACGTTGCCACTCAGGAATGTTGCATATATAAGAAGGGATTTCTTAGACTTGTCATATCCCGGAATCCCGACCCCGCGCACTCCCACCACATCACACCTTCCTAACAACTTCACCATCCCCTACACCTTGCCTCCCCACTCTCCAAGTCACCTTCCCTCCTGACTTTCTCAGCTCCGGTCTGGTTGCGGCACACCGAACCTTGGCCACTCCCATCCCGGAACCTCGGTCCCAAGTCGGAACATTCGGAGATCCCGGATTTGCTCCGATATCCTGACAGACCTCCGACATCCTGTGACATGCCCTTAAACCCTTCCTCCACCCATTTCATTTATTTGAGTCACCCAACATCCTTCGGATACGCAACTCCGCTTTCGGAGCTACCCGCATCCTTCGGTGATCTCCTTCACGTTATCACTTATTAGTCATCTCCCATTCTTAGCACGAGTACCTTCTTACTACCATTCAGTCGGCTAACCCCCTTTATCCATTTGTCTTCCCCATTCATTTTCCGGCCTCCAACTCCGCCTTCCTTGGCCCGACACCTCGGTTCCCCGTTTTAGATATCGTTCGGAACCTTTCGGTACCTCTCGGTATCATTCGGTACCTTTCGGTGTTTTCCCCATTTTGTCATTTCGGGCTTTGACTAAAGTCCTCCCCATCCTCCTTTAATAAATACACGTAGATTAGAACCTGTAGTTCCTCAGTTCTAATCTCGACTAAAATGCCACCCAAAGTCCCTCTGAGTGAATCCTGTCCCTGTTCTACAAGACACCTCAGACATAAGAAATACAAGGACTAACTGAGACGTAACGGAGGCACAGCGCTCCCTCCGAGTCGCTGAGGCCGTGTCCTTCTTAGAGCCTCTTGTACCATCCAGCAGAACCGGGCTCCCTGAGAAGCTTCGGTTCACTACCGGAGCCCTCGGACCCCCCCTCTAGTTGAGCCCCGCCTGCATTCGGACTCACGCATTTACCCCCTTCTTCCACAACCTCCGGGGTTTTTAACAAGACTCTTCTCCCTCAGATCTCTTGTCAGAGTCTGAGGTGAGAACAATCTCTATATCATCTTCTTTATAATTCATGTATAACTCCAGACTCCTTCCCAGTCGCTCACATGATTTCTCTGAGGTTTAGCTGCAACTTACATTGCCTCCAAAATCTGTCGAGAACTGGTACAACTTGCAACACATGATGTTCCCATGCTAAGTTGTAATGAGTTGTACATAGGTTGCGGAATATAATTTTTAGTGTTTGCACATGTGGTCATTGCACCCAACCCAACCCATGGAGACTAAGGGAGCACATCCAAGGTTGTGAAGTCAATATCTGGGTGTGCATGAAGGTTAACAGTTTATATATTACTTGGTTACCAGTCACTTGTTTGTGCCTGGTGGTATAAGTGGTACAGCATTAGCTGAGGCTGTGCAGTTTTTTTAAGTGGCACATGTTTGATTCTCACTTAGGAAAACTTTTTTGGGCCCTCCCATGGAATAATTGTGTGAAACTGGTTGAACTGCCTTTGGCTGGTTGCAAACCTGATGAGTGCAACTGAAAATTAAAATGTGGGCATTACAACACGGTACTATACACCAATTCAAATCAAAGAAACAACTTTGGCAGACAGTGTAGACTCAAAAACTTCAATTGTTGTCTTCGACTCCTGCTATCTTGGAAGGAATAAGCCAGGGGAAAAGGCAAGGGTGATGGAATTCCCTCAGAGTGAGACTGTATCTAAAAACACGGAAATGAAACTCAGATACATACTGGGAACAGGGCACTGCCTTCTCCCTTTTGCTCCATCCCAGTCGTTGTTGAGGTACACATCAGGGTTTAAGGCCATCTGCATGTCCAATGGACATTGCTGTGCAGTCTCTTGCTCACAAGTCAAATCTGCAGCACTGAAGATGAGTGATTCTTGTGTACATAGATACTGCCTGAGTGAGGCAAGCGGAGACAATGTGAAAGTTGCCAGAGAATCTGAAAGTCATGAAATCAACCAATGAGAGCATGAAGTCAAAGCCCAGCAAGAAGTTGGGCAGCATCGGTGAAAGCGAAGAGTCGGACAAAGGGGTGACACAGCATGCAAACTGATGAGTTGGTACTTATACATAAGGAGACCCAATTAAGGCTCTGTCGTTGATGACATCGAAGTGTGTTTGTCAGATATAGCCAGAAAGTGGTTAGTTGTCACCTGGGTTAAAATGACAGACGAAGATGGTGAGGGGGTGTCACTTGCCGAAGTGGTTGCTCACAGTGAGAGTGGTAGACGCCACCGATGTGAGGTGAGTGTGGGATTTCTCATGCTGTCGCTGGATTTCCTGCAGAAGTGTCGGCCAAGTGTGGTATGCAAGCCACATTGTGTCTGATCTGAAGCACCATTTCCGGAGCGATGTCATTACAACAGACCCTGTCTAAGACCGTGATAAAGCCAGCGAATGAGGTGAAATATGGCTACAATGCGCCAGGGAGCCAATTCACCAGTTAACCAGTGATGCACTGAACGTCACCAGTCAAAGTTGAGATGAAGTTGTCAACGGAGTGATGGTATCAATGATGCTGATAGGATGATGTAAGGTACACTGGGGCATATAAAAGGCCTAAGGGGGAGAAGGAGAAAACAGAGATGCAAGCAAGTTAGAACCCTCAGCACCAATTAGGTAAGATAGAGCAGCCAATCAAAATGGTTCGAAACCTGGCTTCGGGTAAACCGAGCCAATCAGATCTCGTAAAAGACCGACCATGATTATTTATATGTTAGATGGTTGTTTTCTGTACACTAAGGAGTGGAGGGTATGAAAAAAAAAAGTTTTTCTAAGTGAGAATTGAACATGTGCCACTTAAAAAAACCACATAGCCTCAGCTAATGCTGTACCACTTATGCCACTGGGCACAAACAAGTGACTGGTAACCAAGTAATATATAAACTGTTAACCTTTGTGCACACCCATGTATTGACTTCACAACCTTGGATGTGCTCCCTTAGTCTCCATGGGTTGGGTGCAATGACTGCATGTGTAAACACTAAAAATTATATTCTGCAACCTATGTACAACTCATTACAACTTAGCATGGGAACATCACATGTTGCAAGTTGTACCAGTTGCTTGACAGATTTTGGAGGCAACATAAGTTGTGGCTAAACCTCAGAGAAATCATGTGAGCAACTGGGAAGGAGTCTGGTATAACTCTTGTTGCAGTCTAATGTGACATAGACTAATTCTAATAGAGATGAGCACATGTTGGAAAACACTGTGGAAGTGTTGTAACCTGTTACGATTAAATTACACCTCTCAATGGCATGTGCTGGAAAACACGGAATTTCGTTTTAATGCATTACTTAAGAGCTCTCAATGCATTTCAATGCCTTATTGATCCATTCCAACACTTTAATAATCTGTTCCAACACTTTGTTAGTCCGTTCCTGAAGAAATTGCATGTTGCCTTCCTGGACTTACTCCATGATATCCAAATGATATAAACCAGGTGACTGGACAAATGACATAAAATGGACAAGCCTGGTATCGAACCCAGGACCTCTAGCATGCATCCATACACTACTCGCCCATTATGCCAGGGAGGTTACTCCATCCCATATTCCAACAGTTCCAATGCTCAATGCAAAAATCAAATTGTAAATACTCAGCTTGTACTCAGCCATGCTGTAAACATCCCTGTTCACAAATGCATGGACACACTTCCCCTTCACTACCAACCACAGCTGCAGCAACTGTACACTCACATTTCCATACCCTGTACTTCCAAGCCACATGGGAGTCCCCCATACTCAGGTGAACACATGTTCCATGATCCATTGTGAAAGGTCAGTTGTGGTTCTGACCTGTAAGGCCAGTTGGGGTGCTGGCCTTGGTGACTCCTCAATCCTCAGGCTGTTGAGAACATAGACTGTATGGAGCTAGTATTCGACAGGGGGGGAGGAGAAGAGCTAAGCTCCTTTTCCTGACCCCAGATGCTATATATGTACATACAGGTGTTTTACATTGTTTATTATGAGAAATAATAAAGAATAAGAAATGCGCACAAAGTGCACAAGATCCAGTCCCTGTCCATCCCTTACATGACCTTAGTGTTGACTCCTGCTATCCTCAAGCTGTCAGAAAGTAGGCAGTATAGAGCTTTATTTCTAACAGGGGAGGGGAAGAGTGAAAACCTGTTTCACCCTTCCCCACATTTTATATACATTGTTTACATTGAGGAATAAAAAGTAATAATCAATGAATAAAGATAGCATGCACAGCATGCATCACCACCCTGAAACCCATCCCTTCCTCACACATTGCCACAAATTACTTCACTTGCTTCACATCAATGACGTCTACCTACTTGACAGTCAAGCCACTCTCACAGCAAACGACCACTTCAGCAAGTAACAACCTGTCAGAAGATGGGCAGGTTTCTGTCTGAGTCGGGGTTGGAGGTGTTGGCAGAGGTCTGTTGGAGCATGCACACATGGATGTGTGGGTGAAAATTAGCAGTGTGTCTGGAAGCGCTGTTCAAGGTTAGCAGAGTGGGATCACAGCCTCAGCGACTCAAGGGGAGTGCTGTGCCCTGAGCTTGACATCTGGGGGAGATCCCTTATGGACTGACACTCACAGCAAACTTCAAACAAGACTTGTGGGTGGAGTGGGCTTGTAGGAGGAGCATGGACTCAGAGGGGGGAAGCCCCCTTTGCAGAAGGAGGGACTCAGTGTCAGGGCACACCCACCTAACCGGGGTCCACCCAGGTCCACCCGGCCTCACCTCACCTGCTGCCCTGCTACCCATCCCTCTCCCTCCTCCTTTCTCCCTTTTCTCTCTTTCTTCCCTTTCCTTTGTTTCATTCTTCCCATCACTCTCTTCCTGTTTATTCCTTCTATTTACATGGACCACTTTCCCTTGTATCAATGTACTGTTGACCTGTCTGGCCCAGGCACCTCAGATGACTTCCCGCTGTGCCCAGCATGTGCACTGTAGGTGGGCACAGCCGGTACTGCACAAACAAACTGAATATTGCAATTTCCCCATCCCAGCACATCCCCACTTCACGAAACACATCACACACGTCCTCATATACTATCCCTACCCTTCCATGATTCTTTCCTATTTTTCCAGACACATTCCCAGTCTCCACAGACCAAATTCCCATGTCCACCCAGCAGCATGGCCACACTCAGATTGGATTTCACTTATCTCAGCAACCACTGCACCGATTTGGATGATATTGGTACCGTTGGAAACGCGTCATTTAGGAGTATTAGGATCCATGATTAGCGGGAGTTCATTGGTGATGGA